TTGTTTCTGACCAAGTACACCCCTTCATGGAAACAGTATTCCCTAATGGCAGTGGCCTCTTTCAGCAGGATAATGAGTCCTGACACACAGAAAAAATGGTTCAAAAATAGTCTACCTCACAACTTACAGGACTTAAAGGATCTGCTACTGACGGTTTCATGTCAGATACCACAACATACCTTCAGAGGTGAAGATAGTATATGCCTTAATGGGTCAGGAAAAGGGGGACCTACTAAGTATTAGACTGGTTGTCATAATGTTATGGCTGATTGGTGTATATATACAGCATGAATTTAAATATCCCAAAAATCAAAAATACTCCCTTCCCAAATTAATCTACAGATTGCAACAGTTATGTTAGATGATCTGGATGACATTTGCATTTACTTAGCAAGCATGAAATGCTCACATAAGTGAACACAATGTCAATGTGATCGAACCTGCGAAAAAAGTATTTCTGCTATTATTGTATCCTCTTCAAGCTGACTTAATCTTAACTTGATGTTACAATTTACCCAAACCATTTACCTTGAGCTCTTCTTCTCCATCAGTCCATGCACCTCTACTTTACACCATTCCACTAATGGTGTAAAGTAGAGGTGCATGGACTGATGGAGAAGAAGAGGAGGTTCATATTGGACAGAGGGAAGAATGGACAATATGAAGGGGGGACACATGATCATATGGTGGTAATGGCGGTGGATAATTATAGATGGAAGGAACAGAGGTGGTGGAGATGGTTGGCTCAGAGCAGAGACTGACAAAGGAAAAGGGGAGTCTTGGATTGGACATAGGGAAGGGTAGGTAGAGGGAAAGCAGAGAGTAAGGGAAGAAGGTAGGTGGGGTTAGATGAACGGAAAGGGAGGAGTGGGACCAAGAAAGGGGCGGTTTATGGATTGATAGCGGAGAAGAGGAGGTTGGGATTGGACAGAGGAAAGAGTGGACAGCATGAAGTGGGGCACATGATCATATGGTGGTAAGGGTGGTGGATACGGCTAGATGGAAGGAACAGAGGTGGGGAGGGTTGGCTCGGAGCAGAGACTGACAGAAGAAAAGGGGAAACTTGGATTTGACAGAGGGAAGGGTAGATAGAGTGAAGAGGGAGGGCAAGAGTGGCAGGTAGGTGGGGTTAGATGGCAGAAAAGGAGGAGTGGGACCAAGAAAGGGTAGGTGCATAGACGAAAGGATGTTGGCATTGGACAGAAGGAAGAGTGAGCAGTGTGAAGGGGGGCACATGATCATATTACGGTAAGGTTGGTGGATAAGGAAGGAGTAAGGGTTGGGG